GATGGGTTTTAATTATAATAAATGTAAGATAATACATGTGAATTATCATAATTTGAATTATAAGTATAATTTGGATGGGATTAATCTTAATAGTGTTATGAAAGAAAGATATCTTATTATAGTGATTGATCACTATCTTATGCCATCCAAGCAGTGTGCTGTTGCTAGTGGTAGGGCAAATAGGATTTTAGGTTGTATCAACAGAAATGGTGAATACCAGTCTAGAGATTATAAGTTCATTGTATAGGTCATTGGTTAGGCCACATTTGGAGTATTGTTTCAGTCTTGGGCTCCTTACCTTAGGAATTGTTGGAAAGGGTTCAGAGGAGTTACTAGAATGGTGCCTGGGATGGAGGGTTTGTCATATGAGGCAAGATTGAGATCTTTGAAATTGTTTTCTCTTAAAAAAAGGAAGCATTAGTGGGGATCTCATTGATGTGTTTAAGATTGTAAAGGGAATTGTTAGTGTTGATGCATCATCCTTTTTCACCTTTCATGGCAAGAAATGTAGGATTATGGGACAGGAGAGTTACTAGAATGGTGCTTGGGATGGAGGGTTTGTCATATGAGGTGAGATTAAGATCTTTGAAATTGTTTTCTTGTAAAAAAAGAAGAGTTAGAGGGGATCTCATTGATGTGTTTTAGATTGTAAAGGGAACTGATAGTTTTGATGCATCATCTTTTTTTCATATTTAACAGTGAGAATAGTAAGACTAGGGGGCACAAATATATATCTTGGCAAGATAGGAGTCATCTTCAGCAAAGACAGTTTTATTTCTCTAACAGGGTGGCTAGCCTTTGGAACGGGTTACTTTCAGATGTTGTGGAGGCAGTAAATTTAAGTGAGTTTAACAGAAAGCTTGATAACTATATGAATGATAATGGGTGGCTTTAAGATTTTTTAAAAATAGTTTTAATTCAGAGGATGGGACAGTCAAAATGGTTCAATAGGTTCCTTGTGTCCCTAAGCATTATGTTATACAGTTCAGAGTTTGTTTGTTATTATCATTTATAAATTTGATCTAACTTACATACTTATAAATTATTTTACATAGAGTTATAAGAATAATAAAAATAAGATTTAAATGAAAACATATGAAAAACACATATCAAATAAATAATGGAAAGAAAGTGTCCCATCGGAGCTGTATTAAAAATAAGTCTGTATTCACCCTCATGGGTCACTAGCAGTTAAATAATAACAATTTGTGTTTTTATGCAGGATTAAGCCCCTACTTTAACTCATCATTCATCTGATGTTTTGTCTCACTGATGTATACTGATTTGTAGAAAACATATACACATCAAAAATTCTGAAATACAACTGCCAAATTATACACTTAAATATGCTGAATATGTTTGAGTTTCAAAGTTATTAAGGTATTAAATCAATAGGTTGAAAGTGAATCAGCACAAGAAGTTAGTTAACTAGAAGTAATTATTACTAAAGATGGTAGCATTAGTAATCAGTCATTTATTTAAAAAGTTGTATTAATTTGTTAGTAGTTGGTAAGCTACTTGTTAGTTTGTGTGTGTTAGAATAGCTCACCATGCTCTTTAGTATTATTGAAAGTATGACGACGAACTAAATTTGCACCATTCGTACTTCTTTGAACTGCTTGCATTGACTGCAGTGCTATCTTTGTGAGCCCAGCTTCTGCACTCTGTTTACTGAGGGCTTCTATTGTACTCCGCAATTCCCCAAGTTCCGAGTCCTTATTAAAAAAAAGAAATAAATTCTATTTTTCACAAAATCCAGTAATTAGAAAAATTATCATAAAGCTCTTAATAACTGCTTAATAAAACTCTACAAAATGCTTAAGAGACAGGGGTAAAAAACAGTAACAGTATAAGAAACAAACTTTTAAAAACTTGCTATAAATGAACAACTGTACATCAACTAAACTTTTAAAAATGCATGGAAAGATGACTAAAAATTCAAAAATAAATAATCCTAATAATATCTCCTACGTTAAAAACTTTTGTTGACGGTGCTTGAGCAAATGTAATTAAGTCTAAGTTTCTTACTTTACAAAATGATTAAAACTGTGGGGCTCCCAGATCTTAAGCTAAATGTATAAAAATAGTATTTACTTACTTTTAATAATAAATATGTGTGGGTAAAGATTATTCATGAAGGGAAGTATCTAAATGAAGTAGTATATATTTTAGTATATAAGCCTGGCAGAGAAAGCCTGCGGGATGATTGAATGAAGAGAGTTCCGGGTAATTTACAATTCTGTTTCGAGCTAGTGTTTGTTTTCGAGATTGTGAATTGCTTTGATTGATTTCAGTATGAAATCAACTTATAAATATATTTATCACATGTTTTATTAGTTCTTTTGTCACAGACCTTCCAGTTGCAGGCATTAAAAAAAATGCTACAAAAAGTTTCTCCATGGAGATTTTCAAAAAGCTGCCAAGTATGATGGATCGCTCATTGTTATGCGATAGTTCAAAACATCATGTGTTTAAGGAAGATGTTAACAGACTTCCATAGAATTATAGTGAGAGTCTGACAAACAAGCATACTAGAACTATTCTAGACAAATTGTTAAGATGCCAAAAGCAACAACTTCTAATAACTTTGTCAATATAGACTGCCCCTGGCAAAATTTCAAGTGAAAAAAGAAAAGGTTGCAGGAAGACTTTACACATTAGGCAGCTTTGTGGAATGAAGTATGAAGAAATCAGAAAAAATAAACAAGTGTAGGGTTAATAAACCAGCAACCTGTATCTGTGAAAACTGATTCAACCATCTGAGATACTAAAGTAGACTGGTTGAACAAAAGCCATATATTACATTGAGAAATGCACATTTACACATGAAATGGTGGACTGAACAAAAACTATTGGCTTAGAAACATTGGCAAAAAGTTATACAGTTAGATAACACTGGCCTTTTACTATGAAATGGAGGTACATTTGTGTAGATACACCAAAAAATAGCATGAACCTTCAAGTATTTCCAGTTATATTTTGTCTAAAAGATGGAACAACAGTTATGCAGTGTAAAGACATCATAAGAAGCCAAGTTCATCCTGATAAAAATTAAAGGAACATTCTAGCACTAATAATTAAAATTTAAAAACATTATTTATTCTCAAAGATTGAAACAATGTAGAGTTAAAACAAAGTTTAGCCTATATTCATGTACCACTATCAGATATAGAGATTTCAGGCAAAAACTAATAGAATATTCTTAACTTTTCCAAATTTAAGCCAAAATAAAGTTTTTAAGTTCATGACTACTATGCTGTACTTTTTTTCTACCACCCTTGTGAATGTGTCTTTCAAAATGGTAAAGTACTTTTTCGTACAACAACTGTTACAGACTAGCTTTCCAATAGCCTCCAGCTACCTAACCTGATCTATCCAATCATTAGACCTTAGTCCCAATAAATCATTATGGGCTTTTTTGAAATTAGACTTTTAAATCACTTTCCAACTTAAAACATTCCACAAGGAACTGCAGGAGCTTAACTGAGGAATAGCATAATATTCCAGTTGAAACCATCTATGACCTTGTTGCTTCCTTGACAAATCAACTGAACAGTACTGAAGCCTATGACATTCCAACATCTCATTAAACCTTTTGACTAGGTCATGCGTTTTCATTATTTAGATAGAGGAAGATAAGAATTGACAAGTTGTAAAGATTAAAACTTTTTTAAACACATTTGCCGAGATTTTTTTAATATTTAAGATGCAAACAAAATTCATACCTTTTGTTCAGCACTGGCTGTTAGGTGGTGGAGCCTATTAGTCATGTTTGATAAAGACTGTTCAAATGCTGCTACCATATGGGCCTGAATAAAACAAAAGTTCATTTTAAATTAACTACATAAAACTAATCAATTCCTTCATATACAAAATAAAATGTTAATTAACCGTTTGTTACATCCTAACAACAATGGATCTTTATTTAATTTCTAAGCAATGTAGGACTAGCATAGCAAAAATATAATATCTACAAGTTACAAAACTTGTGGTGGTGCAAAACCTCCCTACCCCACCCCCGTACTAATCAGACAAGGAAGCTTAACTGTTAAACCTAACAAAAGTGCTAAAAAGTTTACAAGTTAAACGGTACCTAAATGGTTTTCATCACATTCCTCTTTTATTAGTTTATTATTCCCTTCTAGTAATATTAACACATTATATTGTTGTAACATTGTTCTTCCGTTGGCAGATTCTTTTAAATTATGAATATGTAGCAATAACAAATTGGTTTATTTCCTTTTTAATTACTAAAGAGGAAAGTAACTTGTTGTAGACCTATGTTTACAACTATGCTAATTGCATCATATTAACATAAAAATAAACTTATACAAATATGCGCAATAGCTTCACTGCAAACTTCCTTAGCAAATTGACTGACTTATGTATTCATAATCCAGTCCTTGTTCTAGATATTTTGCAATGGTTTTCATTCATTAATATTACGAAATTTCTAGAGCTAATTTGATCTTAACATCTCTAGCTAACATCTAAAATTACAACATTAACAATACAGTCTATAACAATATTATTTACAGCCCAGTACACTATCCGACTAATAATGTGTTTACTCAGTTACTTAGGTTCCTCTCTGTACTCGGGCATAACTGAGAGTTACTGCTATGTATAACAATTTTGCTGTTTTTGTTTCTAAGTTTGATCGAAATAAAAATAACTAGACCTATACATTACAATTACGTGAGAAAAAGTTTAGGTTACATCCTACAAATAGAGGGAGAGAAAGAAAAAAGTCGTAATAAATCAAGATAACCACCTAACACTATTTTGTATAAATGTGTTAAAGCTCCTCTGAGGGTAAATAGCAGGGTTGGTTTGGGGGGGGGGGGGCAAATGGGTGCAAGGACCTTGAATGGAAGAGGCCCGTGACTAAGCGAATAATAAAACAATCAAAACTGTATGTCTCATTGAAAAAAAAGTTTGCAACAGTGTCACTATGACAATAGCGATTTCAATTGTTTCGTATAAACCTATTTTGTCATTTTTCATTACATGTTTTTACAGCTTGTTCTGTCATAAATACTTACTCAGCTATTCAACAAAGAAATTCGTTGTCGTTACTTTATATTTATTATTAGTATCAGAAATAGTATTGTCGCGTCAGCGAGGTCACGTGACTAGTATCACACCACGCCTTCTCGAACCTTCGTGAATTATCGGGAGACTACTAGATTGGGGGTAGTCTGGTATATATAAGATGGTCACAACGTGACGGAACAATGTGTGTAATTGAACTGAGTATTGTTGAAGTCGAGCACGTGAGACGTTTGTTGAGAATTATAGCGTTTGTTATAGCGCGACTGTTGAAATTAAGTGTATCGCAAAGTTATATTCAGAAAGAATAAACCAGTTTTATTTAAGAAAGGACTTGTGTCGCTAAAGTTTCGTCGGAACGAATTTACGGAAAATTAACTAACGAACGGAGACGTAACAGTATTTTGTATATTATCGAACCGTCGCTTGTGCTTGTGTAGTGCTCAAATTATCATGTTGAATTGTATTTGATTTATTTATGAAGTTCAGTACTGAGTCCCCCCAGTATATACGTTACTTTCTACCCTGGGGTTACATCACATAACTGACAATTATTCTAAAACGATGCAGTCGACTTAAAAATAAGCCCAATACACTTAAGGCGAAGTATTTCAGAGTCAACGATATCGTTAAACAATATAAAAGAGCATAATATATCGACCAATAAAAATATCAGACAACAATGTTTCTAAACAATTACAAAATCAGGATTAAAATGGAAGTACAAGTATAACGACACTATTAATATATATATATATATATATATATATATATA